TCTTTGTTTCTTTTAGTAACATGTCTAGAAGGAATTGGGATTAAGTTTCTTTTACGAAGTGATGTCTGTTCGTCTTTCTCTACTAAGTTATCAGTTGTTTATTTTTTTTTATAACAGATTAAATATGACCTAGAATCACCTTTACAAATGCCACGTGTATAATGATAATGATGATAGTCACAAATGGTGTCATAAGCCTACATTGCTTAAATTACTTGTGCAGAACGTACGAGAAATCTCAAAAGTCGAGACACAGGAAAGAGAAAGTCATATTACAAAGCGAATGCATTTTTTCGTTACTACGTTCCATCTGTTTGCTTAAAGTGGACGTTGTTTTAATTTAGTCACAAGAAATGTCACGTTCATGTCATCTAAATGATGTTAAGATTGTACTAGAGGGAAAAGGATAGGTAACGTGATCTTTCGGGGGAACTGGTTCGCTTTCGATTTGATAAGAGTTCGAAGGCTGCACGTGAACAAAGGTACGCAATGTTCGTTCAGAACCTTTTGAGATTTTGTTTTGGATACAAAGAGAAGCGAATAGACTAATTTCTGTGCCTCAGATTTGTCCTGAAATTACAATCGAGAAATTTTTACCTCTGTAGCAATGACAACAGCATTTCGATATGGTGAAAATATTTCAAGATTGTTACATCTCGCTAATCTTATCAGAAACTATCAGAAATGTTATGAAAAAACGAGAGAAATTGAAAATTCTTGAGATCAATGATATTGACATAAGTATTTGTAGTTTTGGATTATGAAACCAAGCAGACGATGAAGATAACATTTGTTGAGGAAACTTCCTCCGGCCCAGCTCTGCGAGACAACGAACGGATGTTGACTAAATTAATATAACTATGGGAACTTTAATTTCTTCCGTTATCAGTTGAGGAAAGGACAGAAGTTTGATGCATTTTTATGGAGGAGTTACATACACCTAGGCTGCATATTTAAATGCGTGGCCTATACTCCCACCGAAGAAAGTACGTCAACTGATTTTCAACCGATAACTGTACCTCGAAAGTTCATCGATAATTTTCTCATGCCACAGTACTGTCAGTACTCATTTCTCATTCAATCTGTCAATTTTCCAAAGTCAACTACTTGCGAAACATTTTTAACTGAGGAGATTGATAAAATAGCGGGACCCATAAGTTGTTAAGTATCACATAACCGCCAGAAGAATTAAATTTACATCATGAAATGATTACGAACATTCCGTTTTGCCCAATTTAACTGACGGGTTAGAATTCATGATGCGTAGTTGGAATAACTAGGAGAAAGTCTCGGAAAGATAAGCGAATTGCGAGGGCAAATCTTAGACGCACCCAAATCACACCCACAGGCGATTAACAGCAGGAACCCTAAATCAAAAGAGTGACAAGTTTCTGCCCACTGTGATAAATCACTAGACGCCAGGCTGTTCTGTTTCACGCAAAAGGGAACCGCATTTATTTCAAGTAACCCTGTGGCTGATATCTTGAACCTGGGTGAAGATAGGGGTCAGCATCCCAAACATCCGTAATTTTGTTTACCCTAACTCATTGTCGGAATAACAACCAAATAATATCACGGAAAATGCGAAAGATAACGAAGATATAAATAATTTTACGGACGAGGTTGGGGCAGTTCATAAAATCAGGTTTACATGTACATAAATGACCGTCGTGGTGTCCTCAATCATGGCGAACGATTTCCAGGTGAGAGTGATTTAATCGCTTTCTTGTAAGCTCATTACATGTCATTCAGTTTACAAGTACTTGTAAGAGCTTTGTTGTCTCTGCCAACTGAATTATGATGTATCGATCAAGGAATGTTTGTGTAAAAGTTCATATGCTCTAACTGCACTCTGGTCAAAAATTTGCAAATAAGTACCGTGTCCTCTGCAGATCGTTTTCCACCTTTCTTGTTGAAGCGGAGTTAACATCATTCCTTTCTTTCTTTCTGAATTATCATCAACTTCTTACTGTATTTCCAAAAGTCAAAATGATCGCATAAATACACTCTTATTCTACGATTGCGGAAACAGATGAACTAAGAATAAACGCCGGAAAACGATGTTAATAAGCTGTTTTCATTAGAGCAAACTGAACTATGGCCAATTTATCAGCCAAAGATTATCAAAGCTTGTGCAATAACATAAAATTGGACGATGATCAATACAGAAAAAAAAAAGGTACATTAATTGTATTTTTGGTTCTTATGACGTTACTCTTACACTCCTGTGCGATCTCAAATCCGTGCGGTACAACCACGGAGGTCATGCATTTGCTCCGTTGGAAATTGTAGAAGAGGACAAATTGGATTTTAGAAATGACAAGTGCTTTCACTTTTATTTAACTACAGTCTAATCTTCGTGTGAAGCATATGGATCGATGATGTTTACATTAGGTCTCCTCTTTAGTGTAGATAGATTCTATTTAGAGCCGATCATTGTTTCGAGCAAGCATCGACTGTAGTTCCCAGTGAAAAGAAAAATGGATTGCAGCAAAAACGCTATAAGCAGATTAGTTCGCGGTTTGCATCCCACAGAGTCACAATCTGGAAAATTCTCTGTGAAAGGTGAAATGTTGGAATGAACTTATAAAGCGTTCCTGTAATTAGAAGTAAAACGATGAGGTCGATTGTTTTTTGTTTTATTATTGGATAGGGTCTGACCTCAACGATTTACTGTTAAAATGGTATCACATGCAGATGGCTTATTTCATAAAGTTGACTAACATTTCCAAAGATCTATATTAATTCTTAAATAAAAATTAAATGTTTCTCCTTTACTTTCTTCCTTTCTAAGGGAACCTTTTAGATTTCACATAAGTTTACTCAATTCTCATGGAGGTCTTTTTATATATTCCAAGAAGGAATCTCATCTCTTTAACACTTTGTTAATAAAAGGTTATTTGCAGATCCTCTAAACTTATGATTATTTACCCAGAATCTGATCATTCTGTAACTATTTATTGCCCATGAAATGGTAAGGGACTGTCTTGTAAACGGAGCAGTTCATGTGCCCTTTACAGTACATGATTGCATAATATTTTCGCCAGCTTCCAGACACTGATGACGAGCTAGATGCTCGGGTGCATTTCTCGAAACTTTTTCTACAACGGGACAATGCAAAATGACTGTAGCCTGACACGGCAAATTTCTTTGTCCATGCTTTAAGTCAATAAAGTAAAATCGGAGCATGCTAAAATATCTCCTCTGCAGTGTAATAGTGATCCACACCTTAATTAAGTCTTGGTGCTGCATTAATCTCCGGAAAAAAGTTATTTTCGTTGCTATTACTTTCATATTGTTTATCTTTAGGCTTAAGAAGCTGTAGGTGCCTCTTCATCTCTCTTAATTTACAATTAGTAAGCTGTGCCAAAATCAACTGAAGTATCTTCTCCAAATGGCATGCCAACATTCTGCTCACGACAGCTTTGATCGCCTTAATTCGGAACAATGCTTGTTCGCTTTTATGCGTTTTCTCACGTATTAGGGGACCTCCCTAACCGCTCCTTTACCGACATAAGCCCACAATATGTCGTCTTGCTGCGTCAGTGTTTCCTCATCCTCAAGTAACAAGGAGCTCGAGGCGTCTTTCGTTTTAGTCAAGTCTTGCACGCGTAGGGAAAGTTTACTTCAAGTAAACTTTTCGGCAGGCTTAACTTGGACTTCTACAATGGTTTTGGTGCTCAACTTCACATCTCAGGGTCAAAAGGTACAAGAACTTAGTGAAGTGTAAGTGAATGAGGAAGTTTTTTCCTGTGAGCACTGAAAAGTTACCTCAAATCAACAATTTATTAACAACAGATTTCATGCAGTAGATATACAAGCTATAAGTTGAGCAAATTAGTAGGCCATTTTGCGCATGGTGACCATGGAATATCTAGTAGATTTCTACTTTAGGAAAACGGGAACAAGATGAAGGGAAACCTCTCACGCGGATTCACGAATTTCCTGTAATTATTGCCCATCGTACCGACAAAATTGTGAAAGTTGGTTGAAGATCCTGAACATGAACATTTAACTTTCTCACCATTACGTACTCTATTATGATGCCAAAACCACGTAAGAATTGGTCTCAGTAAGATGCATTTGGAAGTGGTTTAAAACTCGTTTTTTATTTTTGTTATCTCTGCTTTTATTCCCCTAAAACAACTAAACTTTGAATCGGCCTTCTAGACCTTTTCACACGGGAGTTGTTATTCTTGTCTACAAACTGCGATTAATGATGATTTTATCGCAACTGAAATTATTGGGCAAATCTTGCACCGGAATTTCAGTGTTATCGGTCAGAGATTTCCGCGGTGGACATCAGTATTCGTGCCCGACAAGGAAATAAACTACGAACCTAAGATTGACGTGATCTTTCTTGTCAAATAGAGAACCACCTCCGTGCCTTAATAAGATTGCATACCTGTATGAGTTCTCTACGGTTTTAAATCTATCGCTAAAAATATTTTGACATTAGCTGGAGATCTGTCTTCAATAGCTTAAGGGCAGGTAGAGCACCTCTTAAAGTAAATAAAACAAGCTGTGCGTTTCCTGATACCGCACGGCAATGTAAAACCTTTCTAAAATTAACGATGAGAATTTATTTCGCATCTTACAAATTTTTTTTTTATGGATACAGCCACAATCTATGGACGTTACTCGAAGATTAATAATTTTTTATTAAAATGCTGCCTTTTTCTGGGCGGTGAAAAGTAAACGTCGATATGACAGTGCATTAGTGATGTTCTATTTTGAGGTTTAGTCACAAATTTGGATTATGTAACTTACCGCCACGTTCGGTGTAATAATATATAGAATCGATTAAGAAGACGTGTTTTCGTTGCTTGTTAAGAATGTTTATCTAAAGCTGTTCTGTTTATTTGCTATGTCATACTCTATATATCGCAAGAAATTCCTTGCGTAGATGCAAAGTGGTGGTCCATAACAAACCGCCTACATTACCATAATCGAGTTGATCGATCTCTTAGCATCACTCATATTCCTTCCTCTATTTGCAGCTATGGCCGTTTTTGACAATAGGCCTGATTATGGTGACATTTGAATCAGCCGCTGGCGCAACTGTGTTTTCCCTTCCCAAAAAAACTCCCGACAAAGACTGCCAGCCCGTCAAACGGGATTTACTCAGGCAGCGGCTCGGCACCGCTTACAATGACCGATACATGGCTATGGACTCCACGGATCTTCAAAACCACTTACCACCACAAAATCAATATCACGTGACCAAACGTAACATTACCAAAAGATCCAATTCACTCACCGTGGAGGAGATAACCGACCCAGCCCCCTGGACGTGCCAGACGAGTAAAGTTTGGAAAAACTTGGGCCCAAAATATTTCCCTCGTCACGTGAGGTCAGTCACGTGTTCAACTGATAAGTGTTGGTTCGATCACTTCAGATGTCGGCCGAAGTATTACACAATCAAAGTACTGAAGAAGAAGGAAGGCCAGTGTTTACGGGTGATCTCCAGCACAGGGACACCAAGATTCGAGGACTTTTGGGAGTTGCATGACTATAGAATTACTGTGGGCTGCGAGTGTGGACATTGATGATAACGTTCTGTTGTAGATAATTAATAAACTAATCCTGTTTGTCAAAAGATAAATTATTAAACGTTTTATCGAACACGATTCAGTTAAACTGCTCCTATTGACTTTTAGTTTCACTCTTTACACCCCAACATTACCCTCCTCATTGATCTCTCTACATTTCCTGTTGTAATGGCTACGAGAATTCGTTTGACAATCAGGAGCTTCTTAAATCGGTGATCATTTCTTTAACTCTCACGGCCTTTACATCTGATTCAAGGGCGATACTGTGAGAAGAAATTAGAAGCAAGTCACTCATAGCTAAAGGTTGAAGGGTTAACGTCTTTATGTAATACTGAGTTAGTCAGATTCCTTTCTTCCTATGTCTCAAATACTATCGAATTAAGTGCTCTGTGTGTCCGGGTGATCGTCTTCTTCAACACCTCACTTGAAGTATGTCCTTTTCTAGCTTTTAAAAGCTCATTTAACTCGCCTAAATTCTCATTTCCTCTGAGGATAAGAGTTACAGGTAGTTGTTTAACCACAGTATTAGCCTTACACTCTCTTTAATTAGGAAAATAACCAAAAAAGTAAGATTATTCGGAAAAAAGCTTATATCTAAAGCCAAACGGTATATACCAGGTCAATTTTCTCAAATGCAAGGGTAAACTGTAGTTATTTTTCTTTGAACACATGGCTCTTTTTGGGCGCTCCACGCAAACGTGCGAGAAAAGAACTTTAGCGCACCAAGGGGGAATCTGGGTAATTGCAGGTATCGTATGTGTCAAGTCTACAACGAATTCACGGTAAAAAATGTTTTTTGGATACTTCCACAAAACTTCTCATTTCTAAGCTAAGTCAAGTTGCTTGGCACATCTTGGCTTTCCTTTCATCCCTTTGCTAAGTTTGCGCGCGTTTCTTGGAAAACCAAGGTTAGACCATGTGCTTATCCGTGAAAATCGGAAATCATGCCCATAGCTTCAGCCTGACACCAAACGTTAAGTTGATGATAATCACTCAATTCAAATTCAAGTGGTTTTATTTGGTACAGAGACGTTAGGTTAAAGGTCTAATATTTGCCATTGTGGAGCCCTCACCTAGAACGTCGGCCCTTCCGAAATAATTTTTACCATGGTCTAGCCAGTCCCCGCGTATCATGCACACCAATGAGTTTGCAATGGGTAAGATATTCAGGTAAAAAAACCTTGATCTCATATAAAATAAAATAAGGTTACATTTTATGGCAATGTTAGATCTATGGGGAGGGATGAGGATACGGAATACCATATTCCTAATGTCCTGTTGTAAGAGATTTCGGAAGCAAATATGCTGAAAATCGCCGGAAATGACGAAATCTCGTTAAGCATCGACTGCGCATGTGGTGGGTGTCCTTTTCCTCTCAGTAGTTTCTTTCAACGACCGGACTCATGCTTCAAATTACAAGTTGGACAGGACTCACTAATTCATGTGTGGTTGAACCGAATTAAGGTAAGTAGATTATGATCAAAATTAATGAGATATTGCGGCTAAGTAAAGAGGCATCGCGCAAATATGGCCCTCGTTAAAATTTAATTTTGACCCTGAGCATAAGAATCTTCTTGTTCGATGAGATGCTGGGCACTGAAGCACCAATATAAGTATATAGGTGTGTTACTTAGAACGGAAACAACGCTTGAATAAATTTATATAATCCTCTATGGAGACATTTTACAACGCGAATTTCATTAAAATATGATAACCTGCACAGATGTAGGGTTGCCCTCCAGGCATTTTTGTCTGCAGCTTTCTTAAACCTTCACTGAAGTAATGAATAGATGGTTTGCAACAAAGACACCTTTTGTCAGGAAGGAGCAAATACAAACCAAACACAGGTTAGTTGTGACAAATATTACGCGAGGGCGTCTTTTTCTACTTAAGCGCCCTCAAATGACTTTAAATCCAATTCGTGGAGTGGCTGCTGCGTTGGTCTCCTTAATGGTCCTGTAATCATAAACTCGCAAATAAATTGAGTGGCTGAGTGGCTGAGTGGCTTCACTTTATATTTTTTAATCTGTGCTTAACGGAACGGATACGTATTAGCGCGTGAGGGCGTCTTGATCTTTATAAGGGCTATAAGCCTACTCGACGGACAATAAATCCAATTTTATTAAAAGTGGCCGCAGTGTTGGTTTGTAAACAACAACTAGCGGATGGATTGTTTTGTTTCAATCCGCGCCTAGCGGATAAGTATCAGCATAGCGAAAGTTTTTGAATGTCACAAAAGAGAGACTTCAGGATGGCCAGTTGTATGAGGCACTGACGGGCTATTCAGAAGATAGCCTGGTCACAGAAAATGTTCTCAAAGCCTTCTGGACAATGTCGAAAGCACCGTGGTTCAAAGGTCATGAAAACAATTCATATTAACTTAACTCCAGACAATTTACACAGCAACAAAAGATGTAATCTGGTCATTTTTTATTTTAGGTGTCGTGTTGCATAGATAATAATTTCACCGAAGAAGTGGATGCAAGTCCTCTTCACTGATCACCATACCATTTCTTGCATTTCAGTTATAAGAATTTAGTGTTTCATCTCCTATGCACAATCTTGGCGAATGTTTTTATGTTGACCTGTTAACCGATAAGGTAAAGCCCTCTTCACTGTCGGATCATTCTATTTATTTTGCAAGATGTAATTGAGTTCAAATTCCACTTTTATTAATAATTGATTTTACTCAGAAAATGGAAAACCTGTTGTGATGGCCGTGAAATGGGTTGGCCCGGTTCTCGTATCTTATTCCATCTAGGCTTGTAAATACAGAGTGCTTTTAAAACCTTCTTCCTTTTCTGTGCTAAGAATGATGTATTTTTCTTCCAAATGAAATCATCTCGACCTGAATGGAAACAGGGAAAGTGGTTTTTAATGGTGGTTATTCGATAAAAGAGAATATTTTCTTTATGTTCAGTGGCATGGATACACCTTCTCATCGATTCATGAGTGGCGACTTATCATGGTGGGGGACATCATCTTTCAGGGTAAAGCCCTTTTGACCCATCTTAAAAATCTATTATCTAGGTTAACGGAAAGTCAATACTTAAGTTTCCTGAATAGACGACCTTGATTTGATCTTGCTGGCTACAGAGTGATTAAGTTTGAACTCGAAGCTAAGAAAACTGATATAGCTATATCAACACCTGAGCCTATTACTTACCTTGCGAAAATCATTTAAACCTGATGCGGTCTGTGAGCGATTTGATACTTGTAATATATCAAACTTCCATACTTATAGAAAGTATATTTATTCTTTTGCATATATTGCCGTGAGCTCAGGATATGAGCGCTAGAGAAATGAAGATATTATTATTATTATTGTAATTATAATTTACTTGAAAAAATTACGTGCGTCTGATTGGCTGAAAACAATTGCATTTTTCATGTAACACGAGTTCAAAGTAGTAACGCGATTGGAAAGTTGTGACAGAAGTGCAAAAATTTCTTCCGTCTTGACTCTCTGTCATACGTTTTTCCTGTAAATTATTAGCAAATAGCAGCATGGCTACGAGTGCAATTTGGTGTTAATAAGTAACTTGTAAATTTTTTTTAAAGACTACAAATTGTACAAGCCCAACTGGCTCATGCAATTTGTAGTCTTTGAAAAAGTTGCTTATTAACACCAGATTGCACTCGTAATCATGTTCTTACCTATACTTGTTATTATTAATATTATAAGTTTTATTATTATTGTTACTATTACCTGAGAAGAGGTCTTATTTTCTTGAATGGGAACCCTTGGCGAACTAAAAAGCGACTGACATGTTCAATCAGGTATGCCTGATCTAGTGCACGATTTCCTTCGGTCTTAATTAGCTTTCAAGCACTTCGTTCTCAAATGGTTCTGTTGCCAGGACATTGTAAGAATATACGCACGACTCATGTTTTTTTCTTGATGAAGGCAGCGCTTTCCCTAAGTCACAACTCGTTGTGGAAATTCATATATTCATTGAAAATTTTTCGTGATAACTGACATCTGTGAAAAACTACTTTACATATGTTAGACGGTGAGAAAAGATTCCTTGTCTTAACAAGACACAAATATTTCAATTAAATCTAAATCACTTAAACAGCTGAAATGAGTTTGATTGCTCACGCAACCTTGTTTACACACTTTTTGTAGGCGGGTTTGTAATTCACCCCAGAAAAAGTTTTTAATTGGTAGAACTGAATTTACTGAACGAAATACGGTCCTTACACTCTGAGGTTGACCGATTGACATCATAAACCTTGTTTTCAATGTTAGGGAATGTAAATTGTTATCAAACTCGAAGACTTCTAAAACCTTAGTTTTCGATATGGCACCTCTTTGAAAAAAGTGACCATTTTTATCTAAACTTACAGTAAATGAAAGTCAATTGAATTTGAAAGTATGCCGGAACAGTCTCGAACGGCAACATTTCTGTTCCTCATGATTATTCATGCATCAATGAATTGAAACGCCGGAATTACCACATATTGAGATGGAAGAGACAATACTATAAAGAAAGGTAACTAAAACATCTAAAAATTTGTGACACAACGTCCTTGCCGCCCTCTGCAAAACTACATTAAAATGGCGCGTGTTTTTGAGAATCCTTACCAGGAGTTTTCACACTTATTTGTAAAAAGTTCGACGCCACCTGTTCAAAAAATTTAACTTGGACAAAATTCTAGCTCCGATCAAAACAAACTGGTGATACTGACACAGGGTATTAACTCTATTCTCCTTAAAAGTTTTATTTTGCAGCCAGAATTAGCAGTCGCTGCTATGTACGGCTTATGTAAGAACTTTTTAGAGCTAAATTAAGAATACCAGGCTTTTTGATACTAAAAACGTCAAAAACATCTTTTCATATAGTCAAATTTTCTTTATTCTGCCTTCTTTTCTGGACATTAAATTCATATACCTCACAACCAGGGTTATCTGCGAACCAGAAGACCGACTGAGTTGTTCCAAACGCGATAAAACTTTGATCCTGGGATAACTGCTTGAAAAACACAAATGCCATGGCGGTTAATCCAGGATTAGCCGCAGATAATCGTGCTTCAAGCAACTCGGCCCAGTACTTTTATTTTGGAAGGAAATAGCGGAGGAGGAAC